TTTAATCTCGCCGGCGCTGCGGCTCCGGGATTCCATTCGTCAAACAAAGAAACAATATCTGAACTTGGAACTTTCATAGCCTGCGCTAACGCAAGAACATCCGTCCAACCCGTAGTGAGAAATAATAAGAATGAATTTCCTAAAAGTTTTACGGCGGCGGCTCTGTTTATTTCGGGACCGAAATTAATGAGTTTGCCAGTCATGCCAGAGAGAATAGGTTCTACTGTCTTAATGATGTCCTGATCTCCTGAAACCAGCATATAACCCGTTGAGTCTAGAGCGTTAGGCGGACCCATGAATACAGGTGCGTGCAAATATGTGAAACCTTGTTGTTTCCAATATGTTGTGCGTTCTGTGGCTCCTTTTGTAGAAGTGGTTGTGTGATCGATAATAATCACTCCAGGTTTAAAACCTGTTCTGGCGAGTTCAAGAGTTGCATCTACCGCGGCGTCATCAGACAAAGTAAGATGAATACGTTCAGCACCTTTAACTGCCTCCACAATGTTTTCGAAAGCCTTTGCACCAGAAGCTTCCAGCAGTTTTGCTTTAGAATAAGTTCTGTTCCATACATGAACTGTCTGATCTTTTTTAAGAAATGCTTTTACAAAGTTCGATCCGAGTAGGCCGGTTCCAAGATATGCTATCATAATAATATATAATGTTGTTTTTTTAGTTCTTAGTTTAATAAGAAAATGAAATTACAAATATTATTTTAGAGGGAAATGATATCCTGAAGTTCATTCGTTCTGATTTTTAGAATTATCACAACCTGTTTTTTTACCGTCTGTGTAGTATTGTCAATTACTTTAGAAATCTCAGACCTTTTTCGGCATATTTATATTTCAAAAAGATAACCCATGAAAATAAAACACATTTTAAATGCAGCAGTGCTTGTGGTTTTTGCTACCAGTTGTGGTGAAAAGAAAACGGAAGAAGTCACTGTAGAAGAAGCTCCGGCAAAGGAGATAGACTTTAAATTATTTTTTAAGAATCCTGAGAAAGCTGGTTTCAGAATTTCCGGCGACGGAAAATATTTTTCTTACCGGGCCGACTATAAAGGAAAGACAAATATTTTTGTTCAGCCCGCAACGGAAGGTGCTAAAGCGGTGCGCGTTACCAACGATACCTTAAGAAGTATCAGTGGGTATTTCTGGAAAGGAGATAGGATCATCTATCAGCAGG